AAGAATAGAATATCCACTTTGTTACATTAGTCGTCTGTTAGCTAATTGTCGCTACTGATAAACGGCTCGCGATTTGAAATGGTGAATTACAAAGCGACCCCATGGGCTAGGCGTGTTCTTTCCATTCCGCCCATTATCTTTAACCAACCGCTCCATCAAAGCAATCACAATAATTATATTACGGGCTGAAAATAGCCTTGGGTTTCTAAAACACCGTAATCATAGCTGAAAATCACGGATTATAGACTAGATAAAGCAGACCCTCCATGAACACCCTAAAGGGCCACCCACTAAATCCTCATAGACCGGCTTCTTTCCCTACGATTCCACGAGCCACAGCTTTTACCTCAAGCGCTGAAGAATATCGATATTTCCTTCCTTTAAAAGACGCCTATTCTCACCCGCGCACATCTCACTAATGCGTGGTGTCAAAAAGTTTTCTTGAGTACTGCAATTATCCGGAGTAAAATTTCAGACAGTATCAAAGGGCTTCTGTATGTCTAGAAGAACTGATATCGCTCGTTGCAACTTACCGTCTAATTGTCTGTTTACCTGCATACAAACGAAAACCCAAGGAACGTCTGCCCAGTGGGAACCAAAATTCATCTTTCATAAGAAATTTGTACTATTGTACAGTGGCTTACTTCTGACTGCTAAGTCTTTCTGTATGCGTTCGCTTTTCAGAAGAAACAAACTGGTTTTCCGCCGCATCTGGTCTATCTCATAATCCCTGCAGATGATTCGAATGTCTACATTACCACGCTCTTCTTTCCCATTTGAACCGGTATCTCGGGTAAACTGTATCAAATATCTGAGGGTTTACTAATACTAATCTTCATTGGACTCTCACATTCAATACATCGTCAGTAAGCTTCGACGACTTTCTTTTTATATCCGTAAACTTTGTCAGTTTCGGATTCCACAAACAATTATTTCCAAATTTGTGTACTAGTATGCTTCCCCGTTTTACTTTATTGTTCACCTGCTAATTTTTTCAATCTTCCAAAAAAAGATTTTAAACTGCTTCGACGTACGCTGATCACCATTAGTCGTGTATCTTCTATCCCGCTGAAGGAGTTGGTAACTAACCTATGCAAACGTCATTGGAATGCATGTGAAAAGTTAGCACATAAGATTCTCGAGTCCACACATCCACTACACGTAGATCTAACTTCCTTTTGTTCCCATCCTTCTACTAGATCCCAATATCGTTTTGGTCCCTCTAGACTAGACATACACCGTAACTGTATAATACCCTCATTAGCAATTATTCTAATTAACGAAGAACAGGTTTTCGCAGACTTTGTGTAGTATCACACCGACCGACAGGCATGTTAACATTAAACAATATCCAGCCAGAGGGTTAAAGCCGACAGAGGAAAACTCTAGTGTATGTGAATGTGCGTGCGGGCACATCGTTCATGAATGACAATGGACTCAATTACGTAAACACGGTGGAGCAACTCACCAAAATCCGCGATTTTAACATTTTGATTTGAATCCAGCAGAAGATTTTCCGGCTTGAGATCTCGATGAACAACTTTATGCCGATGGCAGTACGCAACACCAGAAATTATTTGTTGAAAGAACTTCCGAGCTTCTTTCTCCGATAATTTACCAGATTTGACAATAAAATCGAACAGTTCTCCTCCACTCACATACTCCATTATCATAAAAATATCTGTTGGAGTGCTAATAACTTGGTACAGCTTTATGATGTGTGGATGCCGAAAGAGCCATAGATTGAGAATTTCGCGTCGTAACTTTCCAGCGACATCCAGAGCTTTTATTTTGTCACGATTAACAATCTTTACAGCCACCTGAACACCGGTGGATTTGTGAATCCCAACTTTAACTTTTCCAAATGTACCCACGCCCAGCGTTTCTCCAATAATATAGTTTCCGATACGCACCTCCGGGGCACATTTTGCGACACCACGCCTGCTGTCGGCCATTATTCAAATTGGCGCGTTTCGCTCAAGGATCAGGTCAGTTCAGTTCAGTCCATTTCAGTTCATTTAGCACAGGACAGAAAATGTTCAATGCCCAACGTCCAGTTCACAGGCGGAGAAAGCTCGTTGGATTGTAGTATTGCCTGTTTCTTGATCTATACGGTTAAGTCTGATGTTCCGAAATATCTGTTTTTAATTCGTTTGTTCTTGTAATCTGAAAGTGTAAGCAAAAAGAAAAG